TTATCCAAATGCGATCCAATTCAACCCGCTTACACCCCTACTCTTTATAATGGTCAGCTTATGTTTTGTTGATGCTAAATTTGCAAAACTCCACAGAAAGAGAACATAATTTATTAGAAAATCACAAGAATTATAACTCAAAAATATGAAATTTTTCGGGGTTGTATATCTTTCATCGTTGAATATTCGCTATTGTTCATTCTCTTTTTAATTTAATTAATTCTTTTTTTTTGTTTTCTTTAAAGTTGTGTTAGTGGCTATTTGATGTTGATTTGCCACCTTCAAGAAATACATGAAAAATACATTATTTAAGTTGAGAGGACTTGCAAGAATGAAAGATGAAACTATAAGAGGAAAAAATGAGACTTGCTATAAGATTATATTTCTTATTATTTTGATTGTTCATGAGATAAGTATTGCAATTATGGAGGTGATTCATCCAATTTCAAATATACTCAACCAACTTTAGTTGATCATGTTTGATTTAATCAACTATATTTTTCTCAATTCATTATTCTATAGTTAAGTTTGTTTCCCTCTACACTTAAATTTTCTTATTATATTCTTACTTCTTTTAAGTTGAAAAGTAATTGCTTCCAATTGCGTGTGTTTAAGTGGAGGTGATATAAATAGGAGATTTTACATATGAATCAACTTCTCCCTTATACAATAATGCACGACTCTTGATTGAATATTTATTTATGTATAGTAAATTTTTAAAAAATAAAATTGTCACTCTTAAAAATGTATAAAAACCATATTTAAAATCATCTTATCATATCCATTCATTAAGAATGTCATACGAATAAAAAAAATTCCAATAAAAGGATGACTAATAAACAAGGAAAAGTTAAAATTGAAAAGGTTATTCTTCATTTTGATCTCCAATTATTTTTATTTTAAATTGAATTAATGGTTCTATAAAATGTTAATTTCATATATTGCAGTTTGCTTGACAATGATTAAATTAAAACCAACTACTATTCCAATATCATATTAAAATTTATATTTTCTTTAATTTCTTATTAATAATTTTTCAAATTTAGAATTTATTTTTTTAAGTAATAAAAACATAATACTAGATGTACACGCAGTAGTATGTATACCAATACCATCAATGTCACTAGCTGTAAAATATATTTTAAATTTACATATCTTGTTACGTATTCTGAAAGGTCATGAACTTTGAAAAAATCATACAAATATTAATACAAAATGTTTTTATTAAGGAGAAGTAAAGTAAGAGCTTTATTGTCTTGACCCACTCTATTTGGATTTAACGTAAGTAGAGTAATTGAAAATGAAAAGTAACATTAATTCTTTGAATTTTAATATAATTACAGTTGTATCAAATTCAAGACCAACTTCTCTATGCGGTGGTATTATTCAAATATGACATCAACATCATTATTATTATTTTTTGAACCACAAACATTAATGTTGCGTTGTTATCCCGGAGAGTTGAGGCCTGAGATTCTACGTACTATCTAATGGGGATATTAAAATTGCTCCAAGTTACATGTGATAGATTAATTCTTATATTAAAATGGTAAACCAAAACTAAATATGTCGAACTCATTTTGTCCATAATAAACTTCAAATCATATAACCAGTTACCTAGCTTGTTAAACTTTCCTTAGATTATATTAATTATTACATATGTTGGTCTGTTCAACTTTCAAATCATATAAACATATACCTTAATTACTTGTGAAAACAACATTGGATTTAAAAACAATGTCAGACTTCCCTTTATAGGAGGCAAATGTATGGTGATATGAGACATATATATAAAGTTAGTTGTATCGTATTTTGCATTTAGATTGACTCAATGCAATTATATAACGGAACTTCTATTAACTTATTCAACGTTTCCAAAATAATATATATAAATGAGTTATTGAGTAAAATAAATTTATTAAAATTTATTTTTAGAGTAAATGATTATATATATATATATATAGTTGAGGTATCAAATTATTCTAAAAGTAATTTTTGATAAAGTTTTTTACTCAATAATTTATTATATATGTTGAATTTTAACAATTCAACCGTTAAATTAAAAATTCTTAATTATAAAGTAAGTCTACAAATTTTTAAGAAATTTGAAAATTATATGATACTTTTTTATATAGATTCAAATTAATGTATAAAATATTTTTATGATTATTCGTCAATTTGAATTAATAAAATGAATTATCAAATAGTTTTCAATTTAAAAAAAAAACTTGTAGAATAAGTCAATAACTCATATCAATAACAGTTGTATCATCAAAATTTAATGTAGAACATAGATTGTTAAGTGAAGTAAGTTTAGGTAGACTTATTCTAGAATAAGTGGATTCATTCTCTCTCTCTATATATATATATAGAGAGAGAGAGAGAGAGAAAGAGTAAAGGGTTCAAATGACACCGGTATAACTTTTACTAAGTGTTACACCACTCAATAACTTTATACTAATTGTGAATTTTGTAAATCCAACCGTTAGATTGAAAGTTCATATCACTTTATATGTGTATATCAAATTTTGTTAAAATTGAACAACAATTTAAAGGTGATCAAAGTGTTCATATTTTAGTATATTTTAAAATGAATATATTACGACAATTTTATTTTATAAGAATGAAGTATCAAATCATTTTGGATTAATATAAAATTTTGTATATATGATCTAAGTGATATGAACTTTCAATTTAATAGTTGAGTTTACAAAATTCGCATTTAATATAAAGTTATTGAGCGGTGTAACACTTAGTGAAAGTTACACCGATATCGTTTGAACCCTCCTCATATATATATATATATATATATACACACACACACACACATACATTCAAACATACATATACACACAAATATAAACATATAGATACACACACACACATGTAAGAAGGGAGCCACTTATTCTAAGAGAAAATTTTGATAAATTTACTCCACTTAATAAATCATGTTCTATAACAAATTTTAACAATTCAACTGTGGAATTAAAGGTTTGTAATGCATAGATCAAATTTACAAATTTTTAAGAAATTAGAAAACTATATGATACTTCGTTTCATCAATTCAAATTGACGGATAAAATATTTTTATGATTATCCGTTAATGATTATCTATCAATTTGAATTAATGAAATAAAATATCAAATAATTTTAACATTTCTTAGATTTTTTTTATTTGATCCATGCTTTAAGAACTTTAAATTCAATAGTTAGATCGTTGAAATTTGATGTAGAACATGTATTATTGAATGGAGCAAGTCTACTTACTCTCCAAGAGTAAACGAATCTCCCTTTATGTGTGTGTGTGTTTGTGTGTGTGTGTGTGTCTCTCTCTCTCTCTCTCTCTCTCTCTCTCTCTATATATATATATATATATATATATATCAAAAAGGGATCTACTTATTCCAATTATAAGTCTTGGTAAAGTTACTTCACTCAATAATTCATTATTTACGTTGAATTTTCATGATCTAATCGTCAAATTAAAACTTTTTAATGAATAGATTAAATTTATAAATTTTTTATCAAATTTGATGACTATTTGATACTTCACTATTTAGATTCAAATTAAAGTATAACATGTCTTTATTAATATATGTCAATTTGAATTTTTATAATGAAGTATCAAATAGTTTTTGAAATTTTGTAAAAAATTGTATATTTGATCTACTCATTAAGAAATTTTAATTCAATAGTTAGATTATTAAAATTCAATATAAATTTTGAGTTATTGAATGGAGTAGCTTTTGGGGAGAGTTGAACACTAGGGAGCACTCTAATGGGTATGAGCAAAATTAGATGAGTAATTGATACTACATCATAACTCAAAACTTTTAAGGTATCAGGTTGATGAATCTTTTTTCACTTATATACTATTCAACATGTCTAACTCTATTTAGTATCATATCTTGAGATATCTCACTTAACGTCAGTTAAACTGCAAACATCTAGGAAATAACATTAGTTTGTTGGAATATTTTGATGTGGTTAAATTAAGCTTGAACCAAAAGTGTAGACTATTTTCCATTTAATGCAAAAAAATTGCTATCATGGTAACTGTATCAAGCATCATCAAATCAACACGAATCAAAATTGAATTCAGATCCAGATCTTTAGAATTTCACAAAAATGAAAAATGATATCGCAATCTTTGATTTTTGTGAAATTCATGAAAGATAAATAGTTGATTTAGGGGATTTTAGATTTAGATCTAAAATGAAATTCATAATCAAATTTAGATCTAAGAAAAAAACTATTTTTAATCATGAATAAACAAATTTTATATCTAGAAGAGAATAAAACAAATGAAGAATTTGTACGAAAAAAAATTAAACCAAAACTCGAATTTTACCTCAATTACTGATACCTCAAATTGATAAGTGGATTAGTCAAGTGTTTCCATCAATATGAATTGGGAATAAAAATAGAAAAGAAATTTGTGACACAAACACACATGAAGAGCAGGGAGAGAGAAAGAAAGAGAATTCAAAAAGCTTGTGTGGAGAAAAGATATAGAAACTAACATTAAGAATAATAAAATAATTTCTATTACTTTCCTTAAAAAAAATTGGAGTATGATGAGTTAATGATGAATTATAGTTAACTTGACCGAGTGACATTCTATAAGACCGACAAGATGTAGTTAGTGTCAAAATAATTACAGACAACTTTAAAATTGATAATAAATTTAATTTAAACTTGACTTTTGTTATTTAGTGTTGGTCTTTAGTCGAGTCTAATGTAGAGATATTTTCTTGTAGTGATCAATGTATTCTTATAAAAATCTATTTTATGTGACTTGTTTATATCTAATAATCTAAATCAAATTCATGTACGATTGAATATATCAATTTAGCATGTTTCAAAATTATACTAACCAATTATGTATAAATATAAAATATTGCCTTGAGTACGGCCTAATTTGTTTAAGTGAAAAAACGAAAAGAGATTATCTTTAGAATTTGCAATGAATAATCCACACATATAAAACTATAATAAAATAAGAAATTCAAACTCATATAAATTTTTATTCCATAAATTTTCAAATAAGTCATTTCACTCATACATCAAGTTATTTCCAGAGCTCTGAATGTTTCTAACACGCTCATCAATTAAAAATATGAAATAAAACACCCATAACATATGACATTGGGAATATAACACAACACATTGTTTATTGGAAAATTCCTTGACCAGGTGATAATATTCTGTTGGGATCAAATTTAGCTTTTCTATCTTTGAAAAGTTTCCATTTGAGGCCAAAGTGTTCCACCCATTCTTGATGTGTTTTGTTACCGGCAAGATATTCCTTGATCTTAATATCTGCATCTTTACAGAACTGTAATATTTTTTGGTTTTGAACTTCATATTTCTCCACATTTTGAACCGCAAAACGAAAAAGATTTACAGAATAGAAAACATCTTCTTTCGGTGTAACTGCTGACATCCTATCATCCCACCTGTGAATTATCAACATATTCATTGAGTTTAATTCTCACACATGTAAACATCCATGTAGATATGATAGCAAATAATTTGGATAAAAAATAAGTTGTTCCCATTTCATGTCCATAGTTCTCTTAATAAAAAAGTAACATGTGGTTAAAGAAATAACATGCTTGATCTTCTAGTGATGCATCGTTTTTCTTGATCAAAAAGTTTTTGGAAATGAGATATTAAGACAATAAATGATTTCTTTTTTGTGCAGGGACATTGTTCATACAATGTTTCAAAACTGATAATAAAAAATTAATTTAAATGCGATTTCTGTTAATCAAATATTATTTTAACATGGTTGTACATAATTTTGATAAATCTTTTGCCACTTTTTTAGTATTAATTAATCTAATAAACTTACTTGTTTCGATTCATGGGGTAGACTAAACAACCACCGGGAGAAATATTTTGCTTAAGAATAATGTCCTTGAATACACCTTCATTAAAATCTGAGATTTGAGAACTTGGAACAAACATGTTCAGCCAAGGATGAGGAACATCCCAAACTCCTTGCGACGTAAGTAATAGCTCCGAAGCATGAACTCTACCCAGAAACTCCTCGTATGATACATTTTTTTTAAACATAAATGTGGGTAAAAAATTTAACCCTTTGACCAAATTTGCGACTTCCTGCTCAAGAAATTATTAAGAAAAATGAGTTTGTAACGATATTTGATTTGAATGAGTTTGACATATGGTATGGTCTCTCTTGGATTCGAGAATCTTTTGTATTTGTTATTAATAAATTGACTTAATCTTATAAAAATATAAAAATTAAAAAGATGTACCTAATAAACAGCAAAAACTACAATTGTTTCAAAGTTACCTGTTCGACACGTGCTTCATTGTTGTTGTCATAATATTTGGCAATCTCTAAGACATAGATAATGCCATATTGAGTTACCAAGGAAGTTATTCTTTGTTGATCAGAAGGTTCGTAAAAGGAAAGGTCTAGTGGCGATTGATTGATCAGTAGAAGTTGACCTTCTATATAATCTGCTGCATTAGTATCACTCCTTTCATTAAATGAGATCAAATATTCTTGGTCTTTAGAAAATGTCGTGAAGTTGTTGTAAAGCAAATGGATCCAATAAACCTGCGAGATAAAATAAAGCCTTTAACATGATTTTAATTCTCATAAAATAAGTAAAATTTGATTTTAATTCTTATATTTTTTTTTCTAATTTTCAAAATAAGTAAATATTGTTTTTATCATTAATAAATATATAAATTTTGATTTTAGTTCTCACAACATATATTTTTTTCATTATTATTTTATCACTAAAAAAATCAAATAAAGTCATTATTTTTTTTCTTAATTAATATTTATTTTATGATAAATAAATAATTTTTTAGTGATTAATAAAATTTTTAGAAGTATTATATATTGACTTGATATTACATTAACCGTTGTGAGTAATACTTAATATTATTACTTAATTTTTTTAACAAATAAATAAATAATTAAAAATAATTATATAATAATAAGAATTAAAAATAATAATTCTTAATTTTAAAAGGATAAAAACAAATCTTTTACAAAGTCCTAAATTAAAATTTATTTATTTTGTAGGAATTAAAAATAAATTTAGTTATAAAATAAATAACTTAACAAATAGTGGGGATTTTGTAATTTCAAGCTTTGTCGTTGCAGATAAAAGAGATAAATGAATAACTTTGAAGTCTTTTAGTTTTGTTCATCTTTGAATATCTTGTGCTAAAAAGTGGACCCACAAGCTTTTTGTTTACGACTTAAAAGATAATGGGATTGCACATTGTTTAAAAGTTTATAGAATTTTTTTTTATTATGTTTATGTTTTAAATAAATGACTTGTATATTTAAATATCCATCACTTGTTGCAACAGGTGTTGGTATAAAAATTAAAGTTAGAGAATTAATCGGGTTATCAAACTTTTGTGCCATCTTAGTTGGCAACTCTATTAGCCATTTCAAGCTCTTGGATTTGAGGTGGATACCTTTATATCTTTGTCATCAACTCACAAAGTTCAAAGCTTGAGAATAAGAAACACACAAAGTCAAAGGCATAATGATGTTATAGGATTATTTTTTGTAGCTTGATTATATGGATATGCCAGATCATAGATTGATTATTTCTACTAATTAATTAATCAACTACTTGATCTAATATAATTTATTAACTTGTATCTTAAAACTAAAAGAAAAAAGTTTTAAATTGTGATTGTCACTGATATTGATGAGAATCATACATTAATTGTTTTTTTTTTCCACAACAGATTAATTGTAGTTTTTACGCAAAAGTAAACTTGCATGAAAAGGGACAAAACGATACTTGCCCTCGTAGGTGAAGGTCTTAGAGGTATTCTTGCTCTTGTTATCACTCCAAATTGACCTAATCCTCCAAGAACAGCATAAAATACTTCTGAATTTTTCTCGGGAGAGCAAGTCACAAATTTTCCTTTCCCTGTAAAGACCACATATAAAGTTTATATGCGGAAAACAAACATGCACATACTCATAGAGATGTATTACAGAAAAATAAATAATAACAGAAAATGAACTTATTTTCATGTAACGTACAATGGTAGCAGAAACTATTTAAGAAAAAAAAATCAAATTAATTCATACAATGCCCTAATTAATCATACCTGTAACAACATCCAATTCAAGAACATTGGAGATCTGTGGTCCCAACAGAAAGGTTCCACCATTGATGCCAGCATTAGAGAGCGTGCCCCCAACCGTCAAATACAAATAATCAGTAAAAGAGAGAGGAGTGAGTCCATGTTTAAGGGTTGCATTCAACACATCAATCCACAATTGCTCACCACCCACATCAGCATAACAACCCCATGAACTCTTCCCATCACAAACAACCTTAATTCTTGACCCATGTTTGAAAGCATTTAGGTTAGTCATGTTCAGCACCACCCCATCTTGCGTCATGGCTTGACCACTAACCGAGTGGGCTCGCCCTCTAGTGGCTATGGTGAAAGGAGTGGGAAGAGAGTTTGAGAAGTTTATCAAAGCTGAGATATCTTCAACGGAACATGGCTCAAAAACTGCTTTTGGGGTTTTGTGAACTATTTTCCCGAAATCATTTGAGGCTAGTGAGAGGGCTTGAGGGTTTCGTGTAAACTTTGGAGCAAGGTCTTTGGGTGGGTGGAATGCTGACAACCGTCGTGGATGTGATTGTGCTGGTGTGAGCAATATGCTCAATAGCCATAGTACGATCGTAACTTTTGAAAAGACTATGTTGCTCAACATTTTTCTTAGCTAGGAGGGACAAAAGAGAATTAATTTGGGTAGTGTGCGATTTCTTCCAATTAGTTAGTGCATATTTATAGACTACTAAAAGGAACATGAAGAAGAAATTCTATTACGTAAGAAATGTAAAGAACTAAAGATAGATCAACACTCTTTTGTTTTCTTCCTTTTTTTTTTTTTTTTTTTTTTTTTTTTTTTTAACAGCAAAGAAATTTTATTAATGAAAGAGGATGAAGGTACAAGTTACCCATCCTTACGAATATGTGATTGAGATATGATGTAATTCTATCATTTTCTCTTAAAGTTGATTTCCTTGTAGATTACTAGTGAAAATAAAACCCAGCTGACTACTGTTTCATACATGAAAACCAAATGCTAGACAACGAAAAAGTATCCTATCTCGTATTTTCCAATCCTCTTAAAGAAGTTGTTGAATTATTTTAGATATCCCTTCATAATTATAACTAATTATGAATCATTTTTGATGAGACAAAGCCTAGATTGTAACACCATTGAGCAAATAAATACTCGAAAGAGTTCTATCTTTCATGTAACTAGGACCAAGAGATCAACACTCTTCCTTTTTAAATATCTCATTTTTTTAATACCTTATTAATAATGTTTTTTTTCTCTTCTTAATTATCATGCCACGATTATTATAATGAAACCATTTGCACGGTATATATATATATATATAT